TAAAATCCAATACGTTAACATTATGGGAAGTCATAGTTCGCGCTAAGTCGCCTCCTACCCATTGCACCTTAGACTTGAATTTTAAAAGAACCTGTGTGCTTAAACTCAACAAATTTAATCTTCAATATATTATATTTTTGTATATTTAAGAGTTACTTACAAGACAGAGTATCTTCCCTTTATTAGACTGTAAATAGAGTTATCGGACACTTTCCTGTGTTAAATATTTTATTTCAAGTAAAGTTTTTAGGATGGAGCAGTGTAGGCCTAGTGGCTTCAGCGTGCGACTCCCATACCTGAGGTCGTAGGTTCAATCCCCGGCTGTGCACAAATGGACTTTCTTTCTATGTCCGCATTTAACATTTTCTCGAACGGTGAAGGAAAACATCGTGAGGAAACCGTCATGTCTTAGACCCAAAAAGTCGTCGGCGTGTGTCAGGCACTGGAGGCTGATCACCTACTTGCCTAATACACCTAGATTTAAAAATGATCATGAAACAGATTAAGAAATCTGAGGCCAAGACCTAAAGAGGTTGTAGCGCCACTGATTTATTTTAATTTTTTAAAGTTTTTAGGTTCGACTCAAATTACTTATTGGTATTAAGTTAGGCTAGATTGTAATGTCCAATGTCTCAGTGAAGAGACTTAAAAAAACTTCGATCAAAATTAATAAATGTTTATCTGTAGATTATGAATTTAACTAGGCGCTTGTTCGCAGGGTCTAAAACACTGTTGTGTCACACACATTACATGTATGTGACAGAATATGATGTAATTGATTGATGGACAATAAACAATAATTCTATACTACAATAAATACTTTTTAATCATACATCAAGCCTTATTAAACGGTACATAACACTTACCTTGAGTTATCTAGGAACATCTAATAAACACGAAACCTGAAATGACGTAAAAAACAAACAATTAGCTACGCGCCACGGCTTGGTGTTGGTGTCGTGTACGTGATAATCATTGCTTATTACTTCCTATTGATCAACCGGTCTTTAATGTAACCCATGGGAAATAGTAGCCGTCTTTGGTACACACTCATGAAGACTCTAATTCGAGAATCATCACAAATGTTAGCTCATGAATGTGATGGTTATATACCAATGTAGGATGGGATCCGGGATGCTTTATATAATAATAATAAAGCCCGTTTTATTTCCAATCATGACATGACAAACAAATTATAATACACAGCTTAGATTATTTTACATTTTTAAATTTATTTTTGAAGTTATACTTCTTTTGGCGCGTTATGAAAAATTGATGAGAGTGAAATTTTACGATGCGCACGCACCTTTACACAAAATTAACAGGATTAAGGTGCCCACGGAAGTTGCTACGACATAATTTAAAAACAACATTCGAATAATAATAGAATTTATGTTACACTTAATGTAAAAGAATAATAATAAATATTTCTTTATTTAATATTTCAAATGTAAACTGAACGTTATTAACTATAATGACTCCTTTTCCAGTCTTTGATTATTTAATTGTAATTAATTATTTGCTTGCAATCAAAAACTATTAATGCCAAAGATCACGCACCCCTTTTTTGTTTTGCTTGTTATCCTATATCCTAGCTTCCTTCAGTACCGTCGATCGGAACCACTTTACGGGTAAAGGTCTCCTCCAGCTTTTTCCAACTGACTCTGTCTATGGCACTCTTTCTCCATTCGTTTCCTGCTATCGCTTCTATTTCTTCACCTTTTTTTTGGGTGACCTCTTGTCCTTCTTTTTGGTCCTTTCCAAACAGTTGTCTTTAAGGTCCACCTATTATCTGTGTATCTTGCTTTATATAACAGAGAACTTTTTTTTCACTTTATACCTATTATATTATATATATTATATATTATATTTGCGTACAAAAACATATAATTAAATGCTATGAAATGAAATCCTAAGCTTGTAATGCTGCAGAGACAGCCTGCATCTCATCAGCATAGCATCAGCTTTACTCTCAGGGCGTAACGCCTATTTAGGTAATTGTCACGTTTATAAAACCAAGAAAATCTATCTACAGCCTTAGCTCGTAGAACATTTTATTATTAATGGTGTTTTTAAGGTGAAACTGCACTTATGCGGGCACCACTGATTACACTTATCGGACTTGGGGGAACTGATAACTAAAATATTACTAATGCATTCGTGGTATTCTGATTAATAGGTTGTAATGTAACTATCTAATGTAAATAGATTTTTTCAATTAAAACCAAATCTGGATTTACGCAATCAGTTCTTATGATTGTATAAACGTGTGAATTAATTAGTCTAGAGGTCCTTACTGCGCGAATTAGTTGATATTGTATGTTATCTTTCGTCTTCATTTTCATCCCGTAATTTAGATCTTCAAAGGGAAGGAACTACGATGATTTCTTTAACTATTATTATGTCACAGTTTCCATAAATTCATTTTTAACATCTCCGGATCGAATGTTTTGAAACCTTTTAAACATACAAGGCAGAATTATACCAATCGATTGGACAAACTCAGGTTATGACGTCACCAAACATTGGGGGCACAGGAACCGGTCGTGGCAGTAGTTACATCATCAACCTATTGGGCTTAAATTATGTAATATGTATAGGTTCAGATTTGACAATGATTAATATAGCAAAATCAAAAAGTGACATATAATAAATGATCAAATACACAATACAAATCAAATACATTAAAATCTCTTGAAATTGTTCTTTTAACGATATCTGTTTCACTAAGGAGGCTTAGGCGTAGAATTTTAAGCCTCCTTAAGGGTTTTGAAGATTTTTATTTGATTAAAATATGATTTGGACATGTGTCCTTATCAGCAATCAAAATCTCGTTTAACGTAAATTAATCAATTAAGCTTTTTAAAATTTGATGAATATTTAAATGATCCTAATCCTTGGCATTGATTTGCTCCAATTCAAACAATTTGTATCTCAAAACTTAGCGATTAAAAAGAGCGGCGGAGAGTTTCTTGCCAGTTCTTGCCCGCTCTACGCACTTGACTTGCGAACTGGTAGTAAATGTAAATTTAGAAATAATTTAACATATTTTCTGTTGACGTTCTTAAGTGTACTTGTTTACCTATATGAATAATGTTATTTTGAGTTTTATTGTATATATTTTTATAATCATTCTTGTGAGAATACCGCGGCCACATTGTTTCTGTTTCATTGATCATTTTTATTTTGACAAATAAGTGATAAAGCCTTTTATGCATACTCGACTTCAACTGTTTCGGACTTAGAAAATTGCCATTGTTTTTAAGCCAGGATGCGAACGCACCTACCGCTTGAGAATCGCTCGCTCCCAACCAACCTCTCTTTTTCTTACTTTTAAAGTTTAACGAAGCCATACTTCTGTAGATTTTCTAAGTTTAACTGATTTTGACTCGAACTAATTTATGCCGTTTATTGGCTAAGGATAGGTAGTCGGGCTAAGTGAAGTAGGTTCGACAGTCTAGATTGACAAAATACAGGTTTACTTTGGATTGCATTTTTCGTTCCTATTTGAATACATTAAAACGCACTAATAGATTTAACTTGGTGTCTTAAAGATAACGCATTAAAGGTTTTATGTATATTTGTTTGCTGTATCATAAAAAAGTAAAAACAAAAAATGGTCCATGGTCCACATGGGTCCCCATGACTGGTGTTCTCCTACCGTTTCCCTTGAATAGTTTACAAAACTTTAGCCACAGCAAAGCTTGGCCGAGTCTGCTAGTATCTCCATAGAACACAATATCGTTAGTGGTATTTGAGTCGGTCGTTTCCATAGCCCAAATCTAATAATAAAAACTATTGTAACTATTACAGCTAAGTAGTTTTTACGGTTTCTATAACGGAATTATATAAATTAAATGGGATTTACGGAAGTTAATCATAGTTCAGTCCTTATAAGTGGGTTAAGTAAGATGATTTTCTGAAAACGGATGTTCATTTTGAAATCACAGTTATTTTAGTAATGATACATGTATCAATGAAAGTTCCGTTAAAATGTTTTCTATCAAAATATTATTAACTAGGCGTGTTCACCAACCATCCTTGATTCATTCGTGGGATGTTGAGAGGCCATATTAGCCTTTTTTTTTAACGTCAGGAAATGCTTTTACGCATATCCCTGCTGAATTTTACTCCAGCAGGGATTATGTGGGACTCAGACATAATATCTACAACCCTACCCACTAAAACCTGACGGATGCCTTCAGCTCGCCAAAGGCCAAAGGCCATATTAGCCTACCTCAAGGCTATCCAACATTTTATTTATTTACAAATACTTGCTAATGCTCGGCACACTGATATATATTGGTTCATAAGAAAAATAAAATACAAAATTTTATGCGATAAGCCAAAAAAAACATCGTTTTATATATTATAAAAACGAATAGAAAAATATATTTAAAACTGTGTGTGTATGGATATCCAAACCTAGCTCGTTTATCAGAATGCTCAATCTGGATAGGAAGGAAAGCATGTAGACACCACATATACCCAATAAGCCGACGGCGAGTGCCAGGCACAGAGCACCTATTGCCTATTAGAAAAAACAATTCACGAAACATATACAGATATAAACCTAAAAATTTAAAGCGCCACTGGTTCATTTTTAATATTATATGGTTTAAAAAATCTGATGTTTTATAATTCATTTGATGAACAGAAGTTCAGTTTCAGAAGTTTTTTTTCGTTTATACTACGTTCGTTAAAAAACCGTTTATTTTTCGTTATTGAGTAGTGTTGCTTGTTTACTATTGATATTAATATATAAGATTTCAAAGCACCAAGTCATTGTTCGCGCGGCATCCAAAATTAATGTAGCCATGATGATCTCCAATCTTCGAAAGGCGTAATAATAAATGAAAAAAAAAATTATCGTAGTGTGCTTATTTGTTTAGAAAATTACAGTTTACTTAACTATAATACAAAATAGGGGGGGGGGGGATTAGGTGGGTCCGTGTAGGGTGTAGGTGTGTATTTGTGTATGTGTGAAACCAGGTGTGTGTATGAAACCTGTGAGTTAAAATCGGCTTGATTTAGTGGCATTAAATGTCTGATTTAAATAGGAAAAGTAATGTCGACCGTAATTAGCTTTAAGTACATGTAAAAATCAGTTTTATGTAAACATTTATACAAGTAACTTGTCAAAACGTTCGCCTTTCAAAGATTTTGAACAATACGGGCGAGTGCAAGGCAGTGGTCAGGCGTGCATTGACCTCAACCCTACGCCAGTTCCCATATATCGACAATCGGTCGGATCTTGCCACTGCTAATTCTGTTATGCAGTCAACTCTCTTTTGTTTCATCGTCTATAAAACAGAAATAGATAATAACATGTTTTAGTTAGATATATTCTTTAGGGTATCCTAAAATAATAAAACAAGTTGACTTTGATGCTAGCTAGCTTTTGTGGTCTCTGGCAGAATGACCAGCGCTGTGGAACACGTCTGCTCCACAGTATGCTGAGCCAGGGTCAGCTACAACCACTACACACTCATTATTAAAATGTACCTTAATACTTTTTTCCATAATTTTTTCTTTTTTGTTTATTATTATTATTATTATTATTTGTGTGTTTATGTTTCGTAAGTAGTAACTGTTATATCTATGTCTAAACTAAACTCAGCTGCTAATGACCGAATATGAAGAAAATTTATTAGTTTTTTATTGCTTTAAATTTGCATCTTAAAAGCGATTCCGAAGATTCCTAACCTAACCTGGTTTTATGGATAAATAATTAAAATTTATTGTAAAACTAATAACACTTTAAATAAATACATAGAAACTATGAATATTGACTAAAATTCAAAGATAACTTAGATATTCCGAATACATTGAGTCGAAATTTACAAATTTAATTCTAAATTCCAATCTAGTTCCTATTTAACCAGAAGTGAATGCAATCTGTATATACACAGTATTACATTATTTTGTAGCTACAATAAGATACTAAGTTAATTGCATTACAGCAAAGATTAATGATATGGTTATAACATAACTTTAAGATTAGATTCAGCAATAATTGATTAATGATTTCAAATATGTTATTAATATGCAACGAACGTATTGTTAATTTCGTACAATGTGTAAGATTTGGAAAATACCTGTGTTAGAGCTCCCTGCTCTTCCATGACTTAATAGTTAATTCCATAATAAAGTTACGATTTTTTTTGTTTATTATCAATTACAATTTTGTTTTTTTTAACTTGTTCACAAACTTTTTCTTCGAATAAAACGAGTAAATTATACAGCTACAAAAATAGTGTTGTTTTTAGGGAGTCATTTAATATACATTTACTCTTTGAGTTGATCACTTGTATAAGATATATATTATATAATATATTACATTACATATCTTAGTAAATTTTTCATATATGAGTATCTTTTTATAACTAAGATACAATATTAATAATTGATAGTTAAACATGTGAGGAGTGTGGGTGGTTCATACATATACGAATATTTGAAAGAATATACGTTTTTAGGTCCCGTCGCATAACTATGTATCACTGACATTGGATTGTGGAATACTCTACCTGTAACCATACAGACCTTGGAATCTAAATTACCATTTAAAAACCAACTGACAACATTGTTATTATTATAAAAACCAATAGACATTTATTATTTTTACCTATGTATTATTAGATAAATAGTTTAGTGTAGTTTTAAGTTCGGTTTTGTATATTTCTTAATGTTTATATGATTAATTTTGTGTTGTCTGGAAGAAACTGCTTTTTGCAATAAGACCGCCCATTTACATCCTTTCTCTTCATTTATTAAATTTTATTTTTATCCTGTTTTATGGTTATTATTAAGTAAATAGTGTTTTTATTATTATTATGTACTATTAAGTCGCATTGACTAGTCTCCAAAAGTCCTGCTATAATCAGATAAAACTCAATGTAACCAGTATGCAAATCAAAGCAGAAATTCCAAAAAAGCGAACAAAAGGCGTCGGCTGTAGACACGAAATTCCTGTTGTTCAAGGATAGTTAAGTGGCTCTCCCTTATCTGATTATACAACATAAGTGTTACGAAATCCCTAGAAGTTAGATCTAAGATATTTCCTGCTTGGACAGACTAGGTCGACTTGATGGGATCGTGAGCGCCGGTCGCCCTAAGGGCGTGACCCTCGAGGGCACAAACCGGCTAAAACAAGATTTATTTTATTCATCCTCAGGCTTTCTGGGAATTGCATGAAAGCTATTTCTTGGTCCGAGAAAATAATTCAAATGCTGTATTTCGAATTTAACTTTTCAATATTTAAATTGTTTTAAAATGCTTATATACGTATAAACACCATCTTATTAAAGTTGTGTGTATACAATTTTAATGTTTTTCAATAATAATATAAGTATTAGCTAATGAGTTACTGTTTGTATTCAGCTTAGCATGAACATTATATATTCACAATCGAATACAAACAACATTTTTTATACGGAAAACTTGACTCTGTAAGCGTATTTAATGCAAAACATGCATGTTGGACGAATATTTAGATTTTCATATATTAGTAGCTAATAGTAACTTTTCTTCAAGGGAAACAATTTTTTACCGGATTGAAGTTATGTATTATAAATTTACAATTATTTTACATAATTTTAAATTAAACCAACGTTTCGCGTGCTTTACAGCGTGCGTGGTCACGGTGACTGAAGACAAAAGGTGTTGAATGTCAAAAAGTATCACAGCTGTAGAAAAAAGTTGTGTTATCTGTATTTAGTAACTTTTCTAGTCTCTTGATTTAACAAAGATACAAATTTTATTATACAGACTTATATAACACGATCTCATTGCAATTTTATATGATACAAGAAAATATGTTGACGCAATTTTTCTTTGGCTCGGTGCAATTTATATTCACAAGACATCATACTTCATCTTTTCATATATTCCATCAGCTACACAAAGAACGACGATTTATAAAGGCTCGTGAATAAACTTCATTTTAGATCAACACATCTTTGAAGAGACTTATTTTGATTGGTGCAATTTATTCTGAATAAACTTATTTAATGCAATTTATAAATGTTACAAAAAGAATCAGTGGCGTTACATCCTTTTCGGTCTGGGCCACAGATTTCGTGTTCATTTGTTTTTACTATAAGTAGGAGATCAGCTTCTCTGTCTGTCGACTATTTTCTTGGTTTCCTCCCGATATTTTCTTTCACCGTACGTGCAAGTCAATACGGACATAGACAGAAAGTCCATTGGTTCGAACCTACGACCTTAACCAACACAAGAACGGCATTTAAATTTTAACTTTTTTACAAAATTTTAAAACAATCTAGTTAATAAGATTTATAAAAGAGAAACAGACTTAACTAATATTGTTTTTAATTAATCGTATTTTTTCAGAATACAGAAAGCAGTGGAGACTTCACGCCGGTTGTAACTGCAACATGTAAAAGTGGAGTTATGTCAATTAGAATCAACTTTAGCCTGCCCTTCAGTGGAGTAACACATGCTCGAGAATACAGGTACCTAAATCTTAGTAAGAAAAACATTTCGATAAAATGGCACATTTCTGAGTCATCTTTCAAGTTCAATATTAACTTATGTATAAAATTGTATGCGATAAAAAGAGTGGCGGAGTTTCTTGGCAGTTATTCTTGCCCGCTCCACGCCCTTGATTTGGGTAAATGTAAATTTCGAATTTCCTTTTTTTAAATTGATCTTTGAACACATTTAGATCTTTTATAATTCGATATTATTATAACGTCTTTCTCTCATAACGCCTGGTTCTAGTTCTCTTCAGAAAGCGAAATAGTTCTAAACGCTTTGGTATTAAACCCTTTTGTTCTGGTTCAATGTAACTTTAAACATGTACAATTCAAAATTCTAGCTCGTTCAGAGTTGTGGTCAATATGACCTAAATCACTTAGATACCGATAAGTGGACCGCACAATCACATCGCATCTATACTCAAACGGTATACACTAATAACTTAATGCTACGTATTAAAACAAAAGAAAAATGAACAATTGAATTATTCTATTATATCTAACCGTTAATCTTATGTAAGAAGTTCATGCATGCACAATGCTTGAATTGGTTATAAGGAAGGAAGTTATCTAGTTGGATTTACAGATTTATAAATATCAGCCTTGCGATTCTGTAACTCACTTTTCGAACTCACACAGCGGTTTTCGCATCGGCGGTCGCTCTCAAATCAGTCGTGAAGCAGTCATTTTATGATTTGGCATTCTGAAAAGGTGGGAGCTTGTAGTTTATTGTTTATTCAGTGAGTTGTGAGTTACAGAATCGCAGGGCAGTCCTTGCTATGCCTATTGTCATACTTCTAAAATCAACGAATACTAAAATTGCAACGAGGCCTCATAGCCTAGCGGTCTTATTAAGTGGCAGGTGAGGGGTACCGGGTTCGATTCCCGGTTCGAGGGCAAGTTTTAATTTAATTTAAATTTGTTCTCGGCCTTTGGGAGGGTTGTGCGGTACCGGGCGAGTGCCTTAACCGTACATGGAGGACACGGTCGAATTTCTAAAGACAAGCACGAATTATTAATAATCCTATACTTGACGCTGGCGTAATTGTGATTTACACAAATCGTGCCAGAGCCATAAATAAAAAAATAAAATAAATAATAATAATAAAATTGCAACTTTTATTAAAAAAAACATGTGTATGTACTTATGTACACGCGTTAGAAGTTATACTTCTTAAGCGTAACAAGATAAAAATCTTTTTAAAAATTTGAACTTTTGCCTTATTCTTCGTTTGTAGAAAAAACGACACTAGCAATAAAAAAAGGTATTAAATACATTGAAAGTTTTATTATAACGCATTATCTAGTTAAATAAAGTTTATTTCAATATCACAAAACAATTATTTCGACATAATTGAAATGGACATTTTTATTTTAAAATGTTGACTATGCTAACTCCAGGTGTCGGTTTTTTGTGACGGCGCGCGCGTCGTAAAAATTTACTCTCATCATTTTTCCCTAACGAGCCAAAAGGGGTATAACTTCAATAATTATTTACAGAAATCCAGCTTGCATGGCGATGGGCAATGGGAGTGAAACTGTGGGTTTCGATATTAATCTCAACGCAGTCAAAGGCTCGCCTGACTATTGTGGAGTTTTCTGGAATAACGTAAGGATATTTATATTTTAAGTTCCATTAATCACGTGCTATAAATAATGTTATTTAAATGAACTGAAAACAACATTCTGTTTATTTAAGCAATTTTTTAATTACATATCGTCACTGTAGAATGATAACCTCGTATGTCAAAAAACCATTTATTTTATAAAAAATATAATATATATAAGAATAATCTTAGACTCTCATGTCATTTAACTGCTATAATCGTGAAGTAAGGACTTTTAATAAAACACTATTTTGACCGGATTGAAGTCATGTATTATTATAATCCGTGACCACGCACGCTGTAAATAACGTTATTTAACGTGAACGGATAAATTCAAAATTATGTTAAATATTTAAGCAAATTTTTAATTACATATCGTCAACTTCAACCTCGGTCAAAAAACCATTAGTATTTTATTAAATGACTAAAAGTCATGTTAGTCAAGGTACAATCACTAAGTAAGGACTTATTTATGTTATTTCCTTTCCTAGTCCTTTTTACTATCCAAAACTATGGACAAAACCACATTTTTTTGTCCATAGTTTTGTTCATGTTTTAACGAACATTGACGAAATAAAACTTTTTTTTCGTTTCCTGTTTGGTTCTCTGGACATACGAGCTTATCATTCTACAGCGACGATATAATGGAGTATGCCACAGACCACTGTTCAAAGAATGTCTTATTTAAAAAACAAATGCAAAACAGTTATTAACTATTTATTTAATTAATAGCAGCTTAATATTTTTCCAAAACATTAAACATCGCCATTTCCTATGGGTCAAGGTATTGTTAATATCATACACAAGTGTTTCTTGACGAAAATTTAAACCAGTCTCATTTAAATTCGTATATTGGATTGCAAAAAATGTCAACACGTTTTAGTACGTGAACAATCGTAAAAAAGATAAACTTATGCGTCACCCATAGAACCTTGAAGTACACCTTACGTATTTAAACACGATTGAATATATGCTGAAGTCCTTGAGACTACACCTGTTATAAAACAATTAATACAAATGCAATGGTTTGATAGGTCAGGTTTAATCCAATTAACTCTTGCCGTTAAGTTTCTGAATTCAACTTTTACGAAAAATATTTTTGTCCAATTGGAAGGAAGACTTTCGTTAGCGGCGAGTTTGTGAAGTTCTTAATTCACAACACAAAATTATATTTTTTCCCCTCCATCATCATGTTGATTTTTTAACGCATGTTATCAGTAAGCAACCTGAAACAATGAACCATAATATGTGCACATTTAATTAATGCGAATTAATTGATAAAAAATATGGATGGATTTAAAAAAATCTGTAGTGTATTACGAATTTGGTGTCCAATATCTATTATAATATGCTATATTAAGTCTAGCAGTGAAATCACTTCAAATTATTATTAATAATAATCAATGGCGCTACAAACTTTTTAGGTCTGTGCCTCACATTTCTGTATCTGTTTCGTGATCATTTGGAAATCTAATAGGCAAGTAGATCAGCTTTCAGTGCCTGACGCATGCCGTTGGCTTTTTTGTGTGTCAAGATGTTTTACCTCTCTGTTCGAGCGAATGTTAAATGTGCACTTAAAAGAAAGTACAATGGTGCACAGCCGGTGCTCGAACCTACGACCTAAGGGATGAGAGTCGCACGCTGAAGCCACTAGGCCAACACTGCTCTTATCAAATCAAATTATTATTATATTTGTATAAAATGCTGGGGTAATGTAATGTTATAAGATTTTTTCATGAAATTCATTTTACATTTCCAGCGAACAGACGAGCGCTCCTTACCACTAGCAGTACGCGTTCACAGGACATTGGAGCTCGCTGACGACAAATTCTATGTCATCACGTGTGGCAAGGCCGGCTTTAGAAACGCAAGGTGATTGGATCGATTCAATCCTATGTTCTTGTTTTATAGTACACAATCCTCATTTTAATAGTTTATGTAATAGTTCTTGTGTCTACCAAGCCAATTATTGGTTCAACTGTTGACTCTAGGACCTGCACGGACCTCCAAACACAGATTTGCAAAGTAAATTAACCACTAAATTACGGAATTGTTATACCTACTTTACATGTATATTCAATGTTTTAGTAAAATTCTTGGATCAATAGTGTTTTAAAGGCAATCCTTTAAAAATTCTCTGTTAGAAAACAGTTGAAGAGTTTTTTCATCGTTCTTTTGTTTATGCTTTCTCTGATGACATAGACTAAGCATCTAAAGACTATATTATACAATATACTACGACTAGTTAAACAGAAAACTTTTACCACTTTTTTTTGGAATTTCAGAAACGAAACCTCATTGGTATCATTACGATTGCTAAATTCAGAGGGTAGGAAAGTATTGAATGCGGCTTATGGTCTGCCTTACACACTCCGAGCTGAGATGAGCAAACCTGACGGTAATATTAAAGTGCTATATAAAGGCTCCCCAATTAAAAACAAAAAAAAAACGTTTCTTTTAGAGTATCAAGAATGGATTACAGCATTGTCAGAGGATGGGAGGATCGTTTAAAAAACCACGACAAAAATAATGAAAATAAAGAGAAAAATAAATTATGAGTTTGAAATTTCTTGTATATACTTATCAATTTCACATCAAATTACAATTATTTAAAGTCCTTTTGAACAGTTTCAGAAAACTCTTGATTTATGGTCACATCACGACATTATACATATCAAGCTAATGTAATTCTAAGTAACAGCTTTTGCATGAATCATGTTTATGTACTTCCAGGAACACACGGCATTCGCATGAGAAATTGTTTTGTTTTCAACATGCGTAATAACACCGTGGATCTTCTAGACAGGAGAGGGTAAATATATATTTCTTTAAAAATATCAACAAATTATTGTTATATTTACAATTTACAATAATAATTATTAAATTTGTCAAAAAAAGTTCGTTAAAGTCTTTTTCGAAAAGTAGATTTAGCATCTGTGCTTTCTACATAAATAGAATTTCTGGTAAACACGGAAGCGATATCTTAAAAAACCTAGTTTGTTGATCCTTTGGAGTCCTGAAAGATATTATATGCGAGAATTAGTTTTGCGAGCGACTCTTGGTTAAGGGTCTTATGAATCTCTCCCTGAGGGGAAGAAGTGAAGCATATGGTGTGATAAACTTGTGAAATATATGTTTTCAGATGTCCTGCAAAAGAACAAACCCTGATCGTTAGGTCTGACACGACCACCGCTGAAATAGCAATACCACAAATGTTCAGGTTCTCTGACTCCTCACAAATCAACTTCCAGTGTGATATAGGAATTTGTAAAGGTATTACCGTCTACTTAATAATATAGCACGGTTCTTTCGGCTTTCAACTGATTCCAGAAATTCCCTTTCGCGGGATTTAAATAATATGCTAAAATCTTTAAACTCACCACAAATGTAAAACGGTTGTTATATTGAAATAGATCGCACTCTACACACGGAGATATTTTTCTAAAATTACAAAGACTGGTGAATTTTTTTTTCATTTTTTATGTTTCTTTGAGAGAGATTTTTTGAGAGAGAGAGAGAGCTGACTTAGTAAATCCATAGATCATGTATTAATTTAAATTAACATACTAATAATTTTAATTGCAGGCGCCTGTGCAACGATAGATTGTTCCATCGATGGCCCAGAACCAAACGACGAGGAAGGTTCAGTCACAGCCTCAACCGGAGCTTTTGTCCTAGATCCAAACGATAGTGCAGGTATTTATATTTTATACAAAGAAATTAAGTTGAATCGGTATGCAAATTTAAAATATTTTCTCAGTAAAAGTCTGTTCTAAACAATAAACTTGTGTTATAGTCATTCAAGTTCTATAAATCCCAATCCCATGACTACTAACACACACATGTGAGTATAAAATATTTTTGAAGTGAAACTTCTTTAGGCAGCATCTTTGTCCAAGAAAAGGGAGCGCGATTGAAACCGATTGAAAGAAAATGAGAAGGAATTACCTTATTCTATTTTTAAAATTAAAATTTCATAAAGAGAATTTATGAAATATTAGTATTTTATATTTTATGCAAAACAATTTATTGAAATCTCAAATGACGAAATGTAAATTAAAATGCCACGTGTTTTTATTTAATTCGGAATGTATTGCGGGTTATAAGTCATATGCAACTAATACGCAGAGGGGCAGAGGGATTTGTAAAACTCTCTCTCATCAGTCGGTAGCTCATATCTGAGCGTCGTGGTCAGCAAGGAAACGTCTGGAGCGGACAATCTGTTTCCACTGGATTCTGTCCAGCGCCTCTATTATAACAGTGTATAGTTTTGAGGACGATGAGTCTTTCACTTGATCGGTCCATCTAGTTGGTGAACGACCACGTGGTCTTTTGCCTTCTGTGCTACCTACCACGATCAGATTCTCCAAGTTTTCAGCGCCTCTGGCCATTGTATGGCCGAAATATAATTCGTTGTTGGCATATGGTAGACAAGCGAGTCCATATTCGGAGTTGGGTCAGGATCGATATTAGTGCGCTTCGTATTTGTGAAACAAAAGAAACGTAATCTTGAAACTGACAGATTTTGTCCCATATCGGTACTAGGACTAAAGACTATACCATCTGGGGCCCGTGGCCAATTTTCATGGGACCCTATCAGTAAAAATCGTCACGGTATACTCAGTTTAATTTTAATAAACTTCGAGATTTTCAGCGTACTCAATTACACGTCGTATATGTCCCACTAATCGCCATAGGCCTCCTCTCTTAGGAGAATGGAATGGTCTGTAGTCCCCACGCTAGCTCAATGCGTATTGGAGAGTTTACATTAATCCATAGAACATAATATCTCTTGGGCAGGGGCCCTTTTGGGTCGGGGGCCCGTGGCATTTTGCCAGCCCTGCCACCTTATTGTTACGCCACTGCTGTCGAGTGAAACAAAACGAGCTATCTTTTTGTGTTCTTATTTATCACCCTTTGTTTTTGCTTTTAAGTAATACTTACTTAGATTACATAACATGCCTACTCGGGGCTTTAATCATGGTAACAAAAGTATAGAACTTTTTGTCATGGCATCCTCATAACATCCGTTTAAAACAGTTGCAGCTCTAGCTTGCGTCGATGAAGGCGTCCATCCACTGTGGCTTCTGTACTTGGCAATCGCTCTGGGAGTCATGTTCCTGGTGATGCTGCTCGTCAACTGTTTCCTCTGCACTGCCATGACGTGCTCCTGCGCTAGGACTGATGTAAGAAATATTTCAGCGAACAGATCTTATAGCAGGACTGATGATAACTTTGAATAGGAATCCGGTCTTTATAGCTCGGGAGAAAGTATTTTATCAGTGATGTTAACAAAAAGTTTGTAGTAACCTACTTATTTTTTATCTTTCTTTTGTTTGATTAACAGAATGTAAAATGTTTAAGCTTTGTTTTATAAAGTCCTAAACCCTATACTTTACTGTATTTGAGTATTTACGATTGTGTGATGTCACTAACGATTATACATCTAAATCATTTTCAATGCACAAATGATCATTAAATATTCAAGGCCGTAGACATGATTCAATAAATAAATCTTAGTTTTAAACAATATATTTGTGAGCTTCATCGATTGAATTGATATCGGTTATAAAATGACAGTACGTCAATAAATAACTGTAATAACAAGCCGCTAGGTGGCGTTATTTTAAATGCATAGTTTTGGTACTCGCGATTGATAAAGAAATTAGTTTTGATAAAGCCATATATAACCTAGACGTAGTCATAAGTGAAAATTAACTACAGCCTTGATTATGCATGCGTTAAAGGTCATGTTCACACACAGGTTATAGAAAAGGATCCGTCGGTAGTCGAAGATTATGACCCTTACCGCAGCTGGCATGGAAGTCAATATGGAAGTCGCTATCCATCTTCCACCATACACTCAGCGAGGTAACACTCATTTCATTACGTAAATAATTTCGTACGGCTTCGAAAACTTTCAGTACTACAATTCGTTGGGGTTATTCAGCATGATTGTTTGTTTTTAAGCAATAACAAACAATTATACATAATAACTTAATCTAACTTTGTAATTATAACCCTTCGATTTAAACCATGCATTGTCGAGGGTTGACTAAAGTTATATATGTTACAGTTAAAACCGGTTTTTAGATAGAACGCATTATTCCTAGTTAGAACGCGTTTTACTAAACGCCTTTGTTAAAACTAGAATTAGCTAATGCTCACAATTGAATATCAGTTAAAACTAGTTATTACTAACGCGTTTTTCGAAGTTAGTCAGTTAAAACTGTTCCGACCAAGGCTACTTATTCTAATTGGTCGCGAGACATCACCTGATTCGGCAAACGCGGGGGAATCCCTTCCCAAGCACTGTCGTCGGCGCGCTGTGCTTTCGTTCGCTCCATTCATTCATGCTTTGTTTTTATTCTGTTAAGCACGTATAGATTGATTCGAGCGCAAATAGTCATGGTAAACTTAAATGAAGGAACGCTGTGTAAAGAGGAGTTTTTAAATAGATTATAGCGATTCGTGAACATGAAAAAAAGAGGACCACTTTTATATTATGCCAAAAGAAACCTAGACCGTTTAGTGGACGAAATTGAAGAAGCACAGTTAGCTGTTCAGAAATCTCAATCATTAATATTTGTGGAATACGTAAATTAGTGTCTAGACAGGAGCCCATGAAATACTACTTGTATGTAGATGAAATTTTTGATATAATTGAAGCAGCTCATGTGGCCATTGGTAATGGTGGTCGAGATAGACTTAAAAATGAAACTTCACGAAAATATGCAAACATAACTTTAGAAATGATAAATATTTTTCTCTCTATGTGCGAAACCTGTCAGCGTAAAAAAAAGTATGAAGAAAAAAGGACTCGTTTCAAAACCCATATTACATTCTGAAATGAACAGCCGTTGTCAAGTCGATCTTATCGACATGCAAACACAGGAAGATCGAGGATTTAAGTTTATAATGGTGTATCAGGACCATTTGACAAAATTTGTTTTGTTGCGTGCACTGAAAAGTAAGAGAGCCGTAGAGGTGGCGTTTTTGGTGCTCCTTGCATCTTACACTCCGATAACGGGAGAGAATTTGTAAACTCTGTTATAAATGAGCTCGTTTCATTTTGGCCCGAGTGTAAATTAGTCCATGGAAAGCCAAGGCACAGCCAAAGCCAAGGATCTGTTGAAAGGGCTAATCAAGACATAGAGAAAATGTTAGCTTCATGGATTCAAGATAACGATACTACAAATTGGTCAAATGGTATTCGGTTTGTACAGTTTATGAAAAATCGGGCGCTTCATTCTGGTATTAAACAATCACCATACAAAGCAATGTTTGGTATAGAACCGCGAGTAGGGCTTATGACTTCGACTTTGCCACGAGATGTTATTGAGGATATAAGAGATGAAGATGATCTAGAAAATGCGTTAAATAATAGTACAGATAATGCAGAAACTGAGCCTGTAGCTAGTTGCAGTGGAGAGCATCAGATTATAACTGGAGCCAAACAAAAAGACGCAGAAAGTTCATCCAAAACAAGTGGAGAATCGCCAATCGAACTAGAAGCCAGTCAATATGATATTGAAGCTGGAGCATCTACGGCTGTAGAGCCTCTAATAATACCACCAAATGACAAAGACCTCGAAGTTGTAACAAATGTGAATCAACACATAACGGCATCCAGAGAAACTGCACATCAAAACTTAAAAAAACAGGCCAAGAGAATGACATTAGCTTCAGATGCAATACACGTTCCTGAGAAATCGGTGATAATGTAATTATACAAATCCCAGATGTCGACAGAGCAAAAGCAAATCTACGTAATATAGTCGGAGTGGTTCTTCAAAAGGATGATCAGGGTTTTCACAAGATTGGAACGAAATATGGAATGCTCGACAAATTATATTGCAGGTATGTACCTACCTATGTGTTGCTTAATTGTTTTATCATATAATTATATTGCCTTTAGGTAAAAGCTAACTATTTAAATATTGCTTTTCAGGTCAGAATTCGACAAGTGCAAAGAAAAATTTTTGCATGAAGAAGACGTTCCGAATACAAATTTACCTTTGAGAACTGTTGCTAAGGAAGCATCCATAGGAACAGGCCAGGGATTTATGCGCTGCGTATGTAAGAAAGGATGTATGTCAAAAAGGTGTCTCTGCAAGAAAAATGGCTACCTTTGTAATTCAAAATGCCACGATAGTTTGTCTTGCAATAACAAGTAGATCGTCATCTTTTTTAATTTAAGGTTGTTTGATTATTTTTTTATTGTATGTTTACCAATATCCCTTAAAAATATTATTATAATGTTCCTTTTTTAAATTTTATGGTTGTATTCTGTTGATTTGTTTGATTATTTTATTTACTTTTAATTAATGTTGTCACCTTGGCAACTACTTTATGCTGATGTTCCCTAAAATGTTCCTTTAGTGTAAGTTTTTTTTACTAGGTACGGTACTATGTTTCTATACCCTAGATCTTTTTTCAATAAATATTTTTAAAACTTTATCTTGTTTTCAATCCCAAAATTCAAATTATTTTCTCTAGTGCTAGTTGTAACTAAAGCTCGGAGTGACAACTAGTTTTATCAGAAAATGAATTATATCAGTGGTAAATTCTAGTTTACACTTGTTATTTCTAGTTTTGACAAAGGCATTTAGTAAAAACTATTTTTAACTAGGGAAAACGGTTTTAACTAAAAACTAGTTTAACTGTAACATATACAATGTACAGGTTACTAGCGCCATCTATTTTTTTTATGTCTTATACTCGGGGAAATATGTAAAACAATTTCTTGGACATTAATTGCAATTAAAGCTAATATTGTTTCGTTTTTCGTTATGAAAGTTTTCGAAGTTACTTGAATGTTTGAATACAAAGCTATCTAGACCACTTGTAAAGTTTTATTTGGTGTCGAATTGTCCGCAAAAATTTTCGCTACAAATAAATTTGTTCCTATAATTTCAAAATTGGCTTTGTATTTTGAATTGTTATTCTTTTGTTGTGTTGTTTGTATCGTGTTTTGTTTTTAACACCACTGTTTGTTTATAATTCAATACAATATGTACAAATAGTTTTAAAGATACTGTTAGACCGTAACAGGTTAATGGAGATCACTCAAAGATTATTGTGATTAATTGATGATTTTTTTTACTCACAAAAAAGTTGGAGTATCGTGTGTATTACTCGATCCATCCTCCAACCTAAAGGGATGATGTGATGGTACTGATTGCAACCGCATATTGTACGTGACGCTACAAAGTCATCTTCTGACTCTACACTATATTTGTTTCTCCGGGAGTCGAGCTCCAGGTTATTTCCATTGTGCTATAACTACTAAGGAAGCGGTAGAGACACGATGAAAAGGGAAACGGAATGGCTTGTTTCGTTTAATTGTGATTGGTCAATAGCGTCTCTAGTAAAACCATAAGCGTACGTCCACGTTTTAGACCAATCAGAATTAAACGTAACGCTCTATCGATTTGTCTACCAGGTAATTTAAAAGTAGCCATATAAATGTCCTACCGACATCTTACGATGCCTATTTTTTTTTCAGATCGGTATCTGATAACAGCGATCACTACGCAATAGTACAGTCAAGACCCGGCAGTCGACACTCAGGAATGCATCGAAGTCGACATTGATAATAGAAAAATCCGGATGGATATTTAATCTAGTCTGGAATTATGAAGGGAAATAATCGAAAAAGCAACATTGTAATTTATATACGTAACTACGAACTAACGAGGCAAGTTACTGGCCTGTATATAAACTTATAGTATAAACTTTTCGATAGTTTATCAAGTATTCGTATAGTTGATGTTTATGTCAGTTTCTAAGCATAAGGTTCAATCGAGATTTAGAATGACTCCCGTATGTCCAAAACGTATTGGATTTGACATATGTAAGCCAAACTTAGCGCTATCTGAAATTTACCCTAAGATATTATGTTCGTCCTAAGGGTGCTGATAAACTGTGTAATGTTTGAATTTTTTCATAGAGTAATAGACTACATTGCAATCACAGAATAAGTATAAAACGTCCCTTAATATCTGTCAATTTTAAAATTTGAACGGACAAACGGATCTTTATTTTAAAAATAAATAATAAACTCTATAAGTAAGTGCTTGTAAATCCACTGTTAGAAGAAGTTTTAGGGAGATAGGTTTTAAAAAAATCAGCTTTGAGAATTTGTAAACGGAAACATTTTATTTTAACCTAAAATCAATGTATGCTCCAGATACCGGCAAACATCTTAAACAAATGTCCTTGCCTGCGCAGAAGCGATTTTTAGGTATCACTGGGAGAGGGGTGGGGAGAGTGACGTGTCAATCGCGTGATTGGTAAATCAGTTGACGTGTACGATGCAGAAACTCTCCCCACTCCCTTGTTTAATGCTCAAGAAGTTTGCCGGTATCTTTATAGTTCTTTGTTTCGATGTCTGCTATACGTTTAATATTTTTAAGTAAGCTACAGCTACTGAACAAATATGTACTTTAATATTTATGAAATACGTTTTTTGTGCCATTGCTACTACAAACTAAATCATGCTAAAGCCTGCTTCAACTAACCTCGAAAATGAATTTTTAAATAACAACGAAAATAGTTTTACTAATTATTAAGCATATAATATGTGTTTCTTATATTATTGGTATAAAAGGTATTTTGTTTAAAAAACTAAATCAAGCTATATTTATGGGTGCTTTAAGTTCAAAGTTTTTAGAAAGGGAATCGAGTTGACATCTTAAAACAAAAGACAAATTTGTGGTGCATTTCATTTGTTTGTAAATTGTCAAACGGAAGCTCGGATCGTGACGTACATATCTAGACACTAGATCTCACCATTGTTTCTTTAACATTCACACCAAGGTTTGTTTTACACAAAAATCGCGCATAGTAAGTCCATTCTAGGACATGTGTTCCCTTATATGTTATAGATCAGCTATAGACAAATATGCGTAGGTATAGATGTAACACTATGAATTTACGTGTATGTATACCGTAGTAGCAGTATTACTTACATAATTGTAAATATTTTAATACTAATCTACCAAAATAATGTGCATAGACTTGTAAGACAATACAAAATATTGTACATAAGTTAAATATAAAATATATCAACAAAAGCATAATAGTGATGAATTTTATTTAAAAGCTAAGTTCATTTTTTAATCTCAAATATTTTGCTTTTCAAGATTTATGATATTTGGACGCCAGCGAATGATTGATTGGCATTTGTATGCGCAACGAACGCATGTTGGTTTAAAAGAAATTTAATAAAATATCAAATTACTTTATCTTCATAAGACATAAACAATGTTATATACTTATACGTAATTATAATTAAATGTGCTGAACAACGATTCCGTCCTCTTTTGGTGTTTGTAAAGTTTATATAAGCGAGTTGCAAGAATAGCATAAGTTATACAATACATAATTTTAACAATATTATCAGATCTTTTATTTCCTTCATTTGACCTTCCTTCGTACACATTTAAGAAGGCTTTTCAATGTCATATTCAATCGTATCTTCGAATAACAATTACAAAACAAGCTGTTAAGGAACTATCCGATCGCCAAACTCCAAAAAAGTACATTGTTTCTTTACATTTTTCGTGATCGTTTCTTGAAGTAGGGCGAATGGAAAAAATATATGGTGGAGTTGAGTAGCTTATGATATAAATAGATAGATACTCGATTTAAATACTTCGCTCGATAGAAAAAAATCCATGCATAGCAAATTGTTAAAATTACATTAATTTAATGTTTTACATAACTAATTCTTATTACGGACTGGCGCGCCTCAGTGCTCCTGCTCTCCACTGCGCACCGCAGCCCACCTCGAGACACTGACACAGCAATTCGTGTACGAGTATATAGCGTATATGTTAAAATCTTTCTGCTCAAGCTTTGACTTTTGTATGACATCGTTGACTGGCCTTACCAATTGTAACTATGTTGTCCAGACGTAAATGTGTAAAAAACCATCAAAATTCCGATTAGTAGAAGGGAAATAAAACAAACACTTGCACATTAAAATTTATTACACATTTAAGTTATTTCAAATTTACTACTGTACAGAATAAAATGGAAGTGATAATAAATATAGCTTATAAAATTTCACAGTTTAAATAATTAAATTTTTTTAACATAAACTATATACAAATGGAATACGGATAATATGTTGTAGGTATTAAAAATTGCTAATAAAGAAATCTTTCAATATCACTCTAGTAAAACAAAAAGATCTAGTATACGGGACAAAAAACATTGTAATTCCTATAAAGGGACGCTGTAGAAACTGTATTTTCTGGCATAATAGATGATTGATTTGAATAAAAATGTTACATTGGCTAAGGAGATCCAATTAGTCAAACAACTTCGAGTTCGACATTAAATCGAACAAGGTTTCTTGGAATTTACAATGTATTTCCGTACAGATTGTCCTAGATGATTTGAAACTAATCCCTTACCACGAACTATATGATAGATTTCAATACCATTCAAACGCTGCAGGTTCGTGGATCCGTTTAGGTCTAACGTCCTCGTGTCGCTCATAAAAGTACTTGATACATAGCCGTATTAGGAACACAAATCTATAATTATTCTATTACCTATGCTAATTATTAGCATAGATGTATAGTTCGTGGTAAGGGTACGGTAATGCTCCATGCATAAGAACATAAGAACGTATTTGCTATTACTATTCCATATCATTTTGTAAGTAAATGGTAAACTTTGTAACATTGATATCCCTTCACTTTTTATTTGGATTACACTTTAGCAGCGAATGATACTATAAAATAATTGACAAATACATGTGAAAACCTGTTTTGCTAAACCTTTCTTGTCAATAAATAGTTGATATTAAAGTGGTTGGTAAGATGTTTTTTTAGAAATCAGCTTTTAAAAATACTAGAAGAATTATATAGAATCTTTATTTAGCAAATCTAGGTTATTAAATGTTTCCTCGAGTTTTTTTGATAGATTTTAATACATCAAAGAATTTAACAGATTTTAATATCTCGTACGTTACTAGATGACAATTTTCTGATAATAAACTGTTGTGGACCCAGCTTATTAGATGGTTTATTTTTCAATCGTTTAGATTATAAGAACTAAACCGTTCTAAACTGGATTTGACATATAAAGAATTACCTTAGGGTAAGTGCTTCGGTTTTGAAAAATATAGTTTTTAACTACTTTGAGCGAAAGAAAACACTTTTATACACATTTATGAATAAATTATTTAATAAATCTAATGTTTCGTGTCCTTTTTCTCTAGCATCATGTTGGTGACTTGTTCGTAAAGCGATCGCTTATAAATCCTTGGCTGACCATCGCGGAGTCCGTATGGGTATGATCCGTACGTTGTGTAGTCGTCGAACCAACTCGTCTTTGGCTGAAAACATAAAGTCATATTTAAATATCGATTACCTTTGTTCTTTGATGGGGACAAGAGACTTAAGACTTTTTAAGTGGTTATTTTAGGAATCGAAACCATTCCCTCCTAGATTCCCTTTACCATTGAGCAGAGCAGCAATAAGCAATATACGGCAAAATATGTCACAAAAAATAGTTACCAATATTGAAACGAAAGGAGACGAAAAATACTAGTGGCGCTACAAAATTTTTAGGCCAACACTGCTCTTTGAAACCATAAAAAACAGGACTGCCCTGCGATTCTGTAACTCACTTTTCGAACTCACTCAGCGGTTTTCGCATCGGCGGTCGCTCTGAAATCAGTCGTGAAGCAGTCATTTTATGATTTGGCATTCTAATAAACAATAAACTACAAGCTTCCACCTTTTCAGAATGCCAAATCATAAAATGACTGCTTCACGACTGATTTGAGAGCGACCGGCGATCCGAAAACCGCTGTGTGAGTTCGAAAAGTGAGTTACAGAATCGCAGGGCGGTTTACAAATTACAATCAAACAATTGTTCATAAACGTATGTACGATGTAATTAACGTAACGCTTTTAAATCTATAGATACTAATATTATAATATGGTAAAGTTTGAGGTTGTAGGGAGATCAACAGAACTGATAAAAAAACTTTTTACCAATAGAAAGCTGTTTTATGTAAGTTATTAACCCGAACATTTAAAAGACTGTTCGTGTTAATCGGATTTGCAAAGTAAGTTAGAGAAAAATGATCCAACGAAAACGTTTCTTACGAACGCGGTCTTAACGATGAGAGATGTGATTGATTTCTAGAGAAAAGTTGACGAGCCAGCGACAGCATATATCTAACTTTTATACTATATAAAAACAAAACCTTCGCCGCGTCTGTTCGCAATTTTCTCAAAAATTGCAGCACAGAATATATTTCGGTTCTCACCAATATCGAAAAGAATTCATAAGGATATCTATATATAAATATACATAATATTTCAAGCTTTTCGGTTTACAGTTTTGCGAAGCCAGGGCGTCGCTAGCATAAACCCAATTAGCTAAAGAATATCTTGATATTAGAGTGGCAAGTGGACCAAACATTAATAAGTATATATGGCTTATATGACTACTAACATAACTGGCGGAAATAGCGGAAAGGCTGGATTGCCCTGGACATTGCAATGGACTGCAAAGGAATACATGGTAAAGAAAAGCTGTGTGTGTGTGGTTTTGTTGCGGTGATGTGTGTGTTATAATTATTATTTTATTTTGTGATTGAATATGCCTTAAAGCTAACCTACTAATGTAACATTTAGGACAATATTGTAACTAACACAATAATAACCAGATGGACTTATGATTGTCTTACTTAAATAAATAAATTATTATTGTAATATATTAGTTCTACTTCAGTGGATTATAGGAGGAAAATACTTCGAATGTTTAGCCAAGATCTTGTAACATCGCAGCTATCAAGTGTGGGTAGTTAGTTACAGTAATTGCAAGGCAAAATTGAGACTGTGACGTCATTGCGTACGTTAAACGTGGGTGGTTACGTAGGCGGGCTGAAAATCAATAGCCCCCACGATGCTTTAATGATAGTAGTGACGTCAAGTACCGAAGTAATTTCATCCCAGCGATTAGAATTTACTGACTTTGTGTATGCTTTGAGCTTTTAAATTTAGTTTGAGAACATTTCAAAATAAAGGTAAAAAACCGAAACTTGGCCCCAACTACATTTATGTCAAAATCCAATGCGTGTTTTGCGGGAGTCGCAACGCTAAGCTTATCTTTTTATAGTACGTATTCGTTTAGGTATATTTATTTATTATTATTCGTACCATTTACTAAATAAGATCTACTTCATTTATGATCCAAACGAAAATTATATGTATCCTTTTAAAAGTTATCATACGTACTTTATCATATTACAGAATAAAATACATAGATAACAGCCCTGCGATTCTGTAACTCACTTTTCGAACTCACACAGCGGTTTTCGGATCGCCGGTCGCTCTCAAATCAGTCGTGAAGCAGTCATTTTATGATTTGGCATTCTGAAAAGGTGGAAGCTTGTAGTTTATTGTCTATTAGAATGCCAAATCATAAAATGACTGCTTCACGACTGATTTCAGAGCGACCGCCGTTGCGAAAACCGCTGAGTGAGTTCGAAAAGTGAGTTACAGAATCGCAGGGCTGAAAGGAATACATAGATAAATTTGGAAAAATCTGGAGAAGGGGTGAACCCGTGATGGAGTTCTGATCAATGGGTACTGAAGGAAATTAGGATAACAAGTAACAAAAAAAATGTGTATAACAAATTTAAACTGTATATTGTATAAACGGGCTTTTTTATTAAAGCTCACATTCGAAATTTAAATTTCCAGAAATTTATAATAGTCTATGCCAAGACATAAACGATTATTTTTATAATCGTTACAACAATCACGTAATTCAGAATGCCCTTTATAGATCAAGGCCACTATGAAAGTTGAACGGGAACTATCGAACTAAAACACGGAAATTGATTACGTATTGGAACGCGATTAATGTTCGTGTTAATATGCTAAATATATTGAAGTTAAAGAATATTATGTCTTATCTATAATACATTCTATAATCAGTTATAGATGAATTGTTCTATACATGCTAGTTCCATTCACGTTTGAACCTTATCATTGGAGATAAGAGAAATAGCAACGACAGGAGTGGTGGATAAACGTGACAAAACAATTTATAATTATGTATTTATATGAAATTTCACCAAGAATTACAAATACTTATTTTTACTAAGCAAAGGCACCATTGGTGGAAATCTTATGGTTCTTGCGATCTTTTAAAAGTTTAGAGAAGAGAAAAGTTAAAAGTATCTATAACCGACGAGAATACTAGGTGAATGACAAGGAAGTGGATTCTACGAGGGCGTGCGTGGAGATATGTAGTCTCTGCCTACACCTTCGGGGAAAAGGCGTGAAGATAAATAAAATTGAAAGAGTTTGCATACTGAAATATTACCCAACCTTTATCCACTTGATATAATGCATTCATTATGTATATAATGAACCATTTATAATAAGCCTTCAATGCAATCTAATCTAATTAAATCCTTAAATAACTATCGGGCATAAAAATTTCAAAGTCGCACTTTTTTTAAAGAAACTATATCAAACAGAGGAAACAATTGTATTTTTGTGTGTAAAGAAATAAATATTGTACCAATTATAAAAATAAATACACCATACGAATGCTAATAAGTAAAAAAACCAGTGACAAACTCTAAGGTCTGGGCCTCACATTTCTGTATAGGCTTCGTGACCATTTGTTTTTTTGCTAATAGGTGTTTTAAGCCTGGCATATGCCATTACTTTATGGGTCTTTTAACTTTTTAAATTTGTTTTAATTTTCTATTTATCAATTTTTAATTACTAATAATATAATACTATATAGGTTAAGTATATTTATCATCATAATGCATTTTGAACATTTATTTTCTTAATGGTTAAAGACGTTACATAGTTTATAACTGTTTAGAAGACAATAGATAATCATTTTTATTATAATAATTAAATAATAAACTTATATAATTTTGCAGAATTATCAACCTAATCCGTAATTTTATCAACTCATCAGAGGAAGTTCATTCAGTGGATATGACTAAGGTCAATGATTTCAAAGCCAAAGTAAGTAATGCTTAATAAATTACGTTAGACAAACTTATTTATTTAGTAAGAATCACGAGAGAATTCTTTGCATGAAATAAAAAAAGGGTTTTATTAAGTACTGTCTTCTCATTAAGTTTCTCTGGAACATTCTCAAAAACCACTAATCAGTTTGGGATTCAAATTAAAGTATTATGGTATAATGAAATGTAACTAAAAACCAAGCTAGACCTGTCTATATCTTAATATATATAAATGACGCGTCACGTTGTTTGTCCGCTATCGACTCCTAAACTACTGAACCGATTTCAATCTAATCTGCACACCGTGTGCAGTTTGATCTAACTTAAAAGATTGGATAGCTTACATCTCAATTTATACCTGCAATATTACTTTATTGCAAAATATTTGTTTCTTATTTGATAGTCACAATTTTAACAGATGGCGCTGTGTTGAAAGTACCAACGTTTCACATAAGCACAATTTAATGGCATAACCACCCAAAAAGCATGGTGGTCTCCATGACTGGTGTTCTACAACCGTTTCCCTTGAATAGTTCACTACTATGTAATATAACAAAAACTATATATAAAAAAAAATATATTATACTATACTTAGTCTACGTCTTAACAAATTTTGTTTGTCTTAAAATAATTTAAATCTTACCTCTAACTTGAAGTTTAGGATCCTAGCAGCGGTCTGATGATGCGGTACAGTAACCACTCGTGACACGGAGAAGTATCCGGGATGGCTGGCGGTCACCTCATAGTGGCCCGGGGTAAGGAGGCGGTAGTAGTCGCCGTAGTCACCTTAAAATTAAGAATGAATATTTCATACGACTCTACTCTGTTTTAAGTGTTATTAAAAAACAGTGGCGCTACAACCTCTTTAGGTCTTGGCCTCAAATTTCTGAATCTGTTTTATGATCATTTTTAAATCTAATAGGCGAAGTAGGTGATCGGCCTCCAGAGTCCAGTGCCTGACACACGCCGTCGACTTTTAGGGTCAAAGATGTGTCGGTTTCCTCACAATGTTTTCCTTCACCGTTCCAGCAAATGTTAAATGCGCACATAGAAAGAAAGTCCATTGGTGCACACCCGGGGATCGAACCTACGTCCTCAGGTATGAGAGTCGCACGCTGGAGCCACTAGGCCAACACTGCTCTAAGCTACTGCTAAGTGTTATTGGTTTACTAAATTAATTTACAATATTTTGTAAAAAACTTGGCGATTTAAAATAGTTCGATATTTAAAAGAATGACGGAGAGTTTATTGCCACATCTTCCCATCCGTTCTACGCTCTTGATTTAAGAACTAGCTATAAATGTATAGTAAAATAAAGTAATATAAATTTAGAAGCATTAATTTTTTAACTGACCTTCATAAAATTATATTAAATGAATAAATTATATTTTGATTTTCTATAGAGTTTATGTGCTAAGTATGTTTAAAATATATAAATTATGTAAAGCCTAAAAAAACGTCAGGGTAAAACAAAACACGCAAGACAAAACGTTGCGTTCGATTGAGATTGGTTAAACGGACGAATTGGTTAACATGATGTAATATATCGCGCCCACGCAATGTATACTTATTAGGGTCAGAAAAAAACTGCTTCTAAATTTACTGCCAGTTATCAAATCAATCGTAGAACGGGCAAGAAGAACTGGCAATAAACTCTCCGTCATTCTTTAAATATCGAACTAGAGATGCTGTTAAATGATCGGATAGAGTAACAACCGTATTGTCTTCCGGTTTACTTTCGCACCCCAAGTACTTAGTGTTTGCCAGTTATTAATATTATCGTTGCAGCATTTTAATAATATGTAGATTGATTGCTAATTGATAAGCTCCAATAAACGGACGGATTAGATAAACTTCTGCCCAAATCATTGCATAATATTGCAGGTGTCGAGGAAAATACTTGTAAGAATAAATATGAAACAGTTATTATAAAAAGAATAAGATTTTTATAAATTGTGAAATAATAAATTATTTTTCCTTCATAAAAAATACAATTACGTTGAAAACCAGACAAGTGGAACCTCTTGAACTCTGCCTTTGACGTTTAAATTATAACGCTATTAAAATAAGCAATGGGGCTCGTTTTATACAAATTTAATTTAGGTTTAATCCGACGTTATGTTAAACGTTAACTATACTATTGTGATGATATAAAAGTCTTATTAAATATTCCCATTCAACAACACTATATAGATAATTCTACTGTACGCGTGTATGTCACTGAACTTCTCTAAAACGGTGGAACCGATTTGAATGATTTATTTAGTATGCGTTTGGGTAGCGCCCTGGATGGTTTAGATTCACAAATCTGTCCGGCAGATGGTGCTGCAGTCGGTTCATACTTTGTTCAATATCCTAATCGCTTGAAATATCATGACAGGACAATGTCTGTCGGGTACGATAGTATATACCTAATCTTAAATATATATAAATTACGTGTCACGTTGTTTGTCCGCTATGGACTCCTGAACTACCGAACCGATATGAATCAAATTTGCACACCGTGTGTAGTTTGATCTAACTTAAAAGATAGGATAGCTTACATCTCAATTTATACCCGCAATATTATTTTATTGCAAAATATTTGTTTATTATTTGATAGTCACAATTCTAACAGATGGCGCTGTGTTGAAAGTACCAACGTTTCACATAAGCTACAATTTAAGGGCATAACCACCAAAAAGCATGATGGTCCCCATGACTGGGGTTCTCCTATCGTTTCCCTTGAATAGATTACTACTATGTAGTATAACAAAAACCTTAGCCACAGCAACGCTTGGCCGAGTCTGCTAGTATAATATATAACGTCATATATATTATATACGTAAGAATTATTGCATCAAAAACATAAACAGGGCTCCATGGAGGCGTTAGAACTAATCGAAAGATCCATCTTCCATTTAACGAATACGTTTTGCTTGGATAGTTATAATATATTTATAAATCTTTTCAGGTATTGGCACAAATCGGTACAGATTCTGCAATGCTCTTTGGTGACTTAGCGGTATGCATCGTAATGCATCAAATTTCCTCACAAAACGAGGCAAGAATACTATTATGATTTCCAAACAAGTACAACAAATTTTTAAGTAATAGAATCTTCAAAATGAAGACTTCTCTTTATACGAGGCGTCTATAAATAGAAATGATATGATAGATTCTCTTTTGTTTTTTTATAAAATAAAATTCACCCGATTATCTCTGCTTGAGGCTAAGGTGCTTGTACCAAGCCTAGAGAGGAACGTTAGGGGTTCATGCTCCATATTCTAAAGTTGCGCGTTGGTGTGCTGAGTACAAGCTAGGGACAACTTCCATTGACGGCGACCTCCGCACGGCACGCGACACATTGATATTGACTTTAAATTATTAAAAATAATTAAAAAAGTTACGACGTCGTGTTATTTTTTTATTTATAGCAGAAGAGGAAGGGTCCAAGATTTCTCTGGGACAGACAAAGGGTGGTAACGATCAATTAGGTGCCACTTATTTATGGTTCCTATTTCATTATAAAATAATATTCGATATTATTTATTTATTGAAGTGAAACTTTTTTAGGCGCATGAGGGTAAATTTTTACGGATAAAACGCAATAATAATAATATTAGCGTCACGAAGATGTGTAGCGTTTTTGTCTAAGAAAAGGGAGAGAGCGATTGAGACCGATTGAGAGAGAGTGAGAAGAGCGCATTACCTTTAGTCCGGTCAATTTAGACATCCAAGGTTACAATAATTCGCACTTGGCTGAATATTGGTAGGATTGCTCAATACACTATTATAAAGGAAATGTGAAAAGTCCTCATCGATCCGGCACGTGCAAAAAAATTTACTCCAGTTCAAAGATCACAAAAATGGGTTTTTCGCGATTTTCAGCAACATGGTAAGTTTTATCATAAAATTAGTATAGACAAAAATTGTAGATCAGATAATTATCTATAAAAAATGTCCAAGTACTTTTTTCCTAAGAGCCACCGTTTTTGAGATATAACGATTCAAAAAGTTGAAAGAGTTGTAATCGTCATAGTATGCACACGTTTCTACGCCACCTTTGAGGTAGTGTACTTAGCGCTTTTTTTTTAATGTGGTTTCCCCGGTAGGCCTATTCCTATATCTTTTTTTCTTTTTTTTTTCTTTTATCTTTTAACAATTTCACCTTCAGTTAAAAGTTTAGCACAAATAAAACAATATTCTGACATTTTTGATATAAAATTCAAAACAGCACGAAATAGGTTAGAAAAAATAGGTTACAATAAACACGTGTTTTCACTCCAGAGCGATGTTGCTGAAGGTTACACTGGCGTAGAAAATAAAGGACTGGGTTTTTTTTACTCTATTTTCTAGAAATCTCAAATGACGAATTATAAATTAAAATGCCACGTGTTTTTAATATCGAAGATATATATTAAAAAAATTTATTTATAATTTGTATTAATTTTCGACACTTTAAATATTTTAAAGACAACTGAACTCATCAAATTCCTAACCTATCTTCCTGTTTCCCTCCCTGTAAGTCTGTATAAATATGAACAAGACCTAAGAATTCGTTCGCTAAAGAAGTTTCACTTCTGACATGTGTACTTTGTACGAACTCACCTTTTTTATATACACCTTTTTTATATACACTTTGTTGCATGTATAGAAATGTAATACAATTGACATAATTAAATAAAAAGGAGGGTAACTGGCGGCCTTATCGCTATCGAGCGATCTCTTCCAGGCCACCACTTCCATTGATATAGTGGAACAGATATAAGTTTTATTACATTATTACGTCTTATTAATGTAATTTCTATCTTTAATAATAGTTATACAAATAAATCTGCGTTTGTATCATGTATGAACTTGCCTGATATATGATACGTGACAAATTCGATGAAGTTATAGTTTTTTACGGTGACCTACATTATTCTATGACAACAAATGTTACCGTATAAGAATCATTGAATATTCTTTCTAATTTGCAAGTGCGAAAGTACGTGTGCAAAATTACTTAAAATAAAATATTAATTAAATAGTCTGTGTAACTATCTCATACACGCACCAATATTTTTATTTTACAAGAGTAGGCAATGCACGGCCTTTTTTCTGTTTCAACTTTTATATTTATAATTTTGCTGTTAGCTACATAAATAAACAAGTTACTTGCAATAAGTAGAAGTTAGGCTAAAATTTGTGATAAAAGAAATTGTGCTTCTTAGTGTGATATATATTATAACCATTCGTATACAATTTAAAATTAAATGCCAAGGTTGAAATATAATTTTAATGGCCAAACATAATAATGAAATAAAACTGGCAGTTTATTTTTAAATTACCTACTTCGGTAGGTAAATTAAAGCTTATTCAAGATAGCCTAACTGTTTTTATAAGAAACTGTTGTCAAAAAAGAAACAAAGCAAAAAAAATAATCAATCAAACAGAAATATGTCCTTGTTGGCATGAGGAAATTATATACAGATATTTTATAAAGGGTAAAAAAAATCTAACGAGATTTTGAACAACCACCCGACGAATACCAGTACATATACATACACAATTCAAACCAAAAGCGGCAACCGGCCGGTCAAATCGTAAAATGTATCATATTAAAGTGTTATACATGACAATAGCTAATATCGAAGCTCATGTTATATCAGAACAATGCAGTAACAGGATGACTGATATTGTTTTCATATGCATTATCTATAAGGATAAATATGTATGTAGATATTCGTTTATTATTAAATTTTTGTATTGATTTTAAAGACGAAGGTTTGATTAAAACAGTGGCGCTACTTTTAGGTCTGGGCCTTAGATTTCTGTATCTGTTTCGTTATATTTTTTTTTATCTAGTTGTTCTGTGCCTGACACACGCAGTTGACTTGTAGGTCTAAGGCATGTCCGTTATCTCACTATGTTTTCCTTCACCGTACGAGTGAGTGTTGAGGAAATAGAAAGTCTGAACCTACGACCTCAGGGATGAGAGTCGCACGCTGAAGCCACTAGGCCAACACTGATCTTTAGCCTAAAATAATACAGAATGCGGACGTGGAACCTATCAAGTGTGAAAGCGTAAATGAATTACTAAAAGGAGTATCCCCTATTTAGAGCAAAGCATTATTTTAGTTAACTTAAACTAAATCAATGATAAATAAATTAAAATATGGTCCTTCCCATTCCAATTTTGAAATTATATGAAATCGGATTACAAATGACTTATCCAATTTGACATTACTCATAAATAATCCGCTAGTCAAAAACTAACCAACCAATAAAAATATAAATTCTAAAATCGAAGTACCTTGGCATATTTTTAAATTTCGAATTTTCTTACCTGTAGTTATGTCATGTCGAATTGGTCTCGGCACCGGTCCCGTAATATTCACCACAGATATGATTGCGTTTTTAATAAATCCAGAGTCATCCCCAACTATTCCTTTTATCCCAATATGCGCTTTCCATATAAACGCAAGTAATGCTTCGCGATTTTTGTGCCATTCTTCTTCTAACTCTTCCGTTGGGGGATATTTCTTACAACCGAGTTCTAGGGTCACTTCGAATGCATTGGTTGCTAGGTAACTGAAATCTTGCATACCTGGAACAAATGTAACGAAATTCAAACCTTATTTAAAGGTTATACAGAATACTGTAATATTTCAATTTTGCAAATTTCTATATTCATCATAGTCATCCTTCCAAATTCAAATATTAAAGTTTATTTGAGTTATAAACAAACTCATTTATTGCCGATTTTTCGTTACTAATCTGTGAAACAATCTATTTATAGAACTTTACGTGACATTCTGCCGATACGATTTAGATTTTTTTTAATGAAACCAACAATATTTATCTTCAATATTAGGCATGATACTTTTCTTTTTAATATTTAGCGGATTTCATCAATGTAAATTATTTGTAGTATTCTGAAATATGAATCGAAATAAAAACCTATGGCAAGGTCGTAGGCAAGTTCTCGTAACCGGTTTTACCAAATGTTTGCATAGCCTATTTACATTTGAAAGAAAAGTTTAACATTGAATTAGCATGCTTAAACTCATGGCTAACGACATAATCGTAAATGTCACTGCACGATGATTATAACTTCCTGTTAAAGGAAACAACAATCAACAAGAAACAAAGGACGATATTAATCAGTCAATTTAGTTTCGGCTCTTGTCTTTACTGTCCAATGATTACCAAGTTAGAAACAATGTTGACTTTACATTGATGCTGTAATCTGCATTACTAGATAAATAGGTTTTCTAAAGGAGATACGACCATTACCAAAAAAGAGTGTAAGAGAGGGGAATGTAAGGATTCTTAAAAGCCGGCAACGCAACATAGCTGTACCGTAGGCTCGTTTGCGCCGTATTTAAAAAGTGTTTCAGGTTTCTATCATCGCTTGTACGAGTCGTACATATACGACGAGTTTCAATTATTCGTTTACGATATTATTACTATCTGACAGCTCAGAAGAATTCATACACTACACACGAATTAATATTAGCTCAGCGTGTTTTTTTGGCAAGATTTTTTGCGACCTCTTTAATTATACTTTATTATTTCATTTATATTTAAAGCTTCCTTATTCAAATGATTTATTGGTGAAACCCCAAAATTAGATATAACTAAACAATTTAAAACTGAAGAAGAAAATCCCCATAAAGTAATATATGTATCGAAAGTACTTTTAGTTATTTTGTCGCAATTTGTCCGTGGACTGATGAATGATTGAGGTGTCATAGGATCTTCAAGCATTCCATTATTTATGGACATTGTCAGTAAGAAAAATTATTTTACAGGTTTAAACGATATTAAAATGATTTGAAGGAATTTCTGAATCACATATGTAACATGACCTGTTTGTAGACTGTGTTTATCGAAAGTTTATAAACAAGAACTCTACGAGAAACATTTTTTTTTCGTTAACGTTTGTTGCAAGTCAATTTATAGACCTAAATGAGAATTTATTCTTGTTAACAGTTTATTTAAAATTTTGAAAGAATAAAACAGGACATGACAAGTCCGTCGTAACAGAAGCGATCGGAACAGAATATAGGCCGATAAATCAACATACATAAACTCACTTGTGTAAGGGCTGGTTGATCTAGTTCTTAGGGTAGGAAATTAAACACTCCAATTATGACTTGATTCACTATAATTCACTTCACTGATTTTACGTTAACTGTATAAACTCAAACTTGAACAAAGGAATTGCCCGTGCGCATGTGTTATAACCTCTTTTATAATCTATTCCCTCTGACCCGACCATCCCACTTCGGGCAGTTGTTCGAGTCAATTCGTATTCAACCGAACGGGTCAAATGAGTAACTATTTCACATGCGTACTTGTAGCAAGATTCTTAAGAATATGTTTAGAATTATATTAAATAATATTAAGAGCTAACACTTGCAAAATGAAATGACACTCACCTCCTTTCAAGCTATACCAAGCCGCCCCGTTAGTAACTCCACCCTGTTTCCCGAAGTTGTACGAGGTTGTATCGTCATTGGAGATACGGCATCCCTGCCTCTTTGGATCAGCCATATCTGCGTGGGACTCGGCGTATGTCATCGCTAAGTCCCTAAAATAATTGCATACTAAATAAAGAACGTTATCGGCTTAAAAAATATAGCTAAAATTTCCTTGAATTGAAACGCTTGGGTAGTAATTAGCGTAATAATGGCACGATATTTTTAATCAGAAATATTTAATGAAGTAACTCTAATGCATAAACAAACATTTTTATAGAAAACTATTGCATCATCCTTTACTTTCGGTAGGAAAATATTAACTAATTGAGTAAAGCATTTGTCATATCTTGTTATCTAGATTAAATCTACGTAGCCAATTGATATCTGCTTGCAACTGGATTAAACGCGATTCAAATCTAACTTTATATCCTGTACATTTATTTTGTTGTATGTAAATTGAATTCTGCTAATTGAAATTTCCTTAAAATGGGGAAAACCAAAAGGGGTTTCCCATAACGGAATGATACGGTCGGAAATGATATTAATAATAATAATTAGAAACACGTTTTTCACAGCGTAAATATTGATAAAAGAAAAAGTATTAAAAGGTAGCCAGAAGATGTAAAAGGACGGTCTTACAGCTACGTTACTTCCAAACAACCCGGACGGAGATAGGCTGATCTCCGAATATTGTGGGGCAAAAACAATTTTACTTAGAAGTAAATACACACAATATTCGAAGAACTTCGAAATAGAGAAATCATGTATTATCACATCACATTTATATCTATTTTTTTATTGAACAAATGGGGCTCAAACGGGCAGGAGGCTCATCTGATGTTAAGTGATTCCGCCGCCTATGGACACTCTCAATGCCAGAGGGCTCCCAAGTGATCTTTTCTTGAAGTAATTTCACCCCGAATTTAGGGGGAATCAAGATCTCTTGGGGGTTTTTAGTTGGTACATTATTTAAAAAAAAACTTAATAAAAGCTCGATTCTATACAACTTTTATTAAGCCTAGAACCCAATCAACAAACTAAACCAAATTTAAACTCCAAGCGTGGCTATAACTGAAAATATGAAAAAGCTATGATACTCCAAGATCGAAATTTTATGCTACTTGAATGTAAATGTATGCACATTTGAATTTACCACGCAAACCGAGGATACAACAAAAACTTTAAGGGTTTTTAATATTTATAGGTATTTGAAGTTGGTTTTAGAGAATATTGAATATTTATTATTATAGCTAATCTCTTCTCTCAATAATTACCTGAAAGTATCATCGTCAGGACTGGCTGAATACTCTGAAACGGGAGCTCCACTCCTGCTTTCATCGTACGGATAATTGGCAACCAAGTCTCCACCATGGAGAGCTGCGCTAAGCACGAATGGAATAGCCATCATCCATCTTATTACAGCCCGAGTTTCGGGTTCCACCTAAGAAAAAATCGAATATATACAGTAAGAAAACATATATTTTAAAACTATTGAGTAGATTTTATCGCGGTCTTTGAGCGCGGCGACCGAATCAAGAAGTTCCGTAACGAAATAAACCTAACACACGATGACGTAATATAGGTGCGGTCAATACGCGTTAGAGCGGGACAAAACGCATACTGCGTCTCACATCGATTTAGTGTGATCGGATAGTCGTGTTAGTCTGAGTCTGGTAGAGTGGTAAATTGAATTAATATCAAAGAAAAAAAAATACTGCAAAAAATAAATAAATAATTATATATTGCATAAGTTTATAAAAAATGATATGCAATAGCTTTACCGCGGCAGTCCCGAGTGCCACACGTATTTTTAATATGTTTAATTCTATATAGGTCTGAGTCTCAGATTTATTTCGTGTTCATTCGGCATCTGTTTTGTGATTAATGTTTTTTCTAAATTACGGGATTCGGGAATTGCATTCCTTCTGTGCACTAAAGCACTTTCTGTCTATGTGACATTTGAGATTTAAGACTCGCTTATAGGAACTGCACGCACGACTGTAGGAAAACATCGTAAGGAATCCACCATGTCTTAAACCAAAAAAGTCAACGGCATGTGTCAGGTACAGAAGGCTGATCACAAACTTGCCGATTAGGCATAAAACAAATAATCACGGAACAGATAAATTTAAAAATCTCTATTTTTCTGGTCATCTCTATTTTATCCGTTTTAGTGCTATCCGGTAATGCATTTTTTTATTATATGATATGATAATGTGTTGATTCTTTTTTTATTTGTGTGTATCTGTTATGTTTTTTTATTAACAACCGTTAATTGTATTATAGTAGTTAGATAATTATATGACATTCTATTAAGCGCGAGGACGGCAGCTATTCACTACGAGTTTATAGCAGTATTTGTATATAGGATGAAAGTACTGTATGCGTTGTTTTATATACTAAATATTACAAAGGAATTATTATGTGGTGGCGATCATAATAAAATATTTTCATTAGTTTTTGAATTTAAATAATATTAGGTATTCCCTTATTTTTTTTCAATTTTGAATAACTCGAGTTCGGGTTCGAGTTTTATAAACAATAACACTTCTATAATGTAAGGGGTTTCTTAGATTATAAGTTTTGACATACTAACATAGAATATGACATAAAACAACTTAATGGTTTGAAGGTGAGACTTTTAGGTGTGGGGTTCAAGTGTACAGGCGCTTATTAAATATTGAAGTTGGCGCCTGGTAGAAAGTACAGGTGACCCCAGAGCTGGTGCGTTCCTCACTCAACGAATAAGTATCGCAATACAGCAAGGAAATGCTGCCAGCATAAAAGGTACACAAATTTATTTTAGTTTCCAATTTTTTCCTTTTTTCAAAGTTATTATATATATGTATAATTATTATAATTTGACATTAGCTAGTTGATATGGATTGTTCGGTTCTTCTTTAAAATCATCCATGTACCCCAGCTTCAAAGCAAATAAAGGATTTAAAAAAAATGGTTTAAAGGTCACAGAACGCCGACTAAAGAAATATTATCACAATCATATTCAACTTACCGGTGCTGTCAAACGAGTGACATCTCTTAACAAATGATTATTATGACTAATTCCTTGCCGTTCCAACTCGAATGTGATTGCGTCAAGATCAGGAAAATTTCGGTTCAAATCCACAGAGTGATTGTTGTTACGGCCAATGAGAAAATCGTTCGCCCCCTAAAAATAAACATAGGTGAACAACTGTTTTTAAATATAAATAATATTCAATATATAAGAGCACTGCTGGCTAGTGGGGCCTGGTGGCTTGAGCGTGCGACACTCGAGCCTTAGTACAATGTCCGGTACAATCGAATCACGGCTGTGCCCCAATGGATTTTTTTCAGCAAACACTCCTACGGTAAACAACATATATCAAACACTTGTTTATAGATTTGAAAGAAAATCGTATTGGTTTCTAGGGCTGCTGGAACATTATTATGATTATAATAATATTCTTTATAAATATATATAACAAGGCATCTTAACTTGACTGGCATTAAGAATCCAATTGAGACTTTTTGAGGAATTTCCACGGTTAAGCCTAAGGAACAGTTGGGGGCCTCATAGCCTAGCGGTCTTATTAAGTGGCAGCTAGGTGAGGGGTACCGGGTTCGATTCCCGGTTCGAGGGCAAGTTTTTTTTTTTTGGTTTGGGAGGGTTGTGCGGTACCGGGCGAGTGCTTAAACCGTACATAGAGGACACTGTCGAATTTCTAAAAGACAAGCACGAATTATAAAAAATCCTATACTTGACGCTGGCTAATGCACAAATCGTGCCAGAGCCATAAAAAAAAAGGAACAGTGGAAATTCCAATTCGTCATTTTTTATGTTCGCGCAAGTCAATCTAAAAAACTTATACGTTTATATTGAAGTGCCTGATTTTAAATATTTTGGAAAAGAATCAATTCTAAAATATTAAAGCAAATTAATTTGATAAATCATATTATTAATTTTAAATTTGTTTATTAATTCTTTAGATAGTAATAGAGCCTTCTCCTAATAATCATAGAGAAATTGCATGATAAATTACTTATATACTTTTGAATTAAGATTTTTGCATAGACAAAATTTACATTCGAATTAACATTACATTAAATAATAACAATTGCGGCAATGAACCGGATGTCTTGTGAAGGTTCTGATGACATTTTGCAGTGTTAAATATCTTGCTCTACACTGAGGCCAGACTACTTTTTAAATCCACATATCAAGACTATCTCGATCAAGATTCGACGGAAGCTAGGAAATGTTTTGCTAGGAAGCTACAAAAATTAAATCAAGTAGGTTTTATATAAAGAAACGCAGCATATTTATAGCTTTTATTTTATACCACACATTCCGCTACCACGAAAAAAAGGGTGCGTGTACTTATGTACACGCATAAGAAGTTATACTTCTTTGGCATTATTAAAAATAGTTTTTGATTGCATTCAAATAATTAATTACAATTAAATAATCAAAGACTGGAAAAAGAGTCATTATAGTCAATAAAGTTCAGTTTACATTTGAAAAATTAAATAAATAGATATTTATTATTATTATCTTACGTTAAGTGTAACATAAATTCTATTATTATTCGAATGTTGTTTTTAAATTATGTCCAATGCCGTAGCATCTTTAGTGGGCAACTTCATTTTGTTAATTTTGTGTAACGGTGCCCGCGCATCTTAAAATTTTACTCTCATCAATTTTTCATAACGCGTCTAAAGTATAACTTCAAAAAAAATTATCAAAGACAATAACGGCACAGATTTCATAACATCTATAAAGTGAGTGAATTCTTGTAAAGCTTCACTAGTGTATGCTCAACTTTTATAGAACAGTGGAAAAGCTATCGATCTGTACGATCCGCAGTTCCTTGAAAAACGGTTCAATTATTTTTTGAACCAACTTGTACAAAAATTTTCTTACCGTTTCAGAGGAAAGCTGCCATCCGTCAGGGTTCATTGCTGGCAGCAAATGAATCCGGGTGGTATGGATGAGGGTCTTAATTTTGCGATCGTGGTTTAAGTATCGTTCGCAAAGGTAATTAGCGAGACCCAGCAAAAGCTCCCGGCCAAGTACTTCATTTCCATGAATGTTACCAACATACTTCACTTCTGGCTTATCTGTGGGATAGTCCATGTGTTTGAAAGAATGGTATTAAAGAAGAAGAAAAAATCTCGTACGTGACAACTCATCGGGAATATTTCAGGAACATTGTTGGAACTGTATCTAGGTACTATATTTACTCCGACGCTGTTAAATTACAAGTTTTGGTATAACCAAAAGCATTAAATACTTAGATTTTTAGTTCTATTTTGTACATTTTTAGGAAAGATTTTTCAAATCCCACTCAAGCAATGAACAATTGAATCTGTGATGGAAATCTAAGGCTTAGCTTTTTTTTAAAGACAATTCACACCAATTGATCTAGTCCCATTCTAAGCTGGTGAAGCTTGTGTTATGGGTACTAGGCAACGGATATACATACATATTATAGATAGATAGACATATAAATACATATTTGAACACCCAAGACCTAAGCACAACACCAAATGCTCATCACATCTATGTTCGTCTCAGCCGGGGATCGAACCCGGGACCCATGGATACGCAGTCAGGGGTTCTAACCACTAGACCAATGAGTCGTCGCTTACTTACAGTATAAGTAATTACTTTATTAACACTGGAGATGCGGTAATAATAGAAGAAGATAATGAAAAAGCCGTCGATTTACGCAAAATGTTTTAATCATGGTATTTTGTTATATTTCCAAGCATTAAAAATGTTTTTAAAGAGCTTCTTGCGTGAAACGCGGCAATAGATTGCGAAACCGGTGAATCAGAAAGCACAAAGGATGTGTAAATTATTAATATACGTAAATTCTAAACAAACTCTATGGAAATAAACGTGTTACAAGGTTTTATCATACCAGGAAAATACGTCGTCAATTTATTGCCGTCCTAAAATAGGCAATTTTTTCTTTTTAAAATAAAAGAAGAATTTTAACAGACTTCCATTATTCAAACTTTTTAACCTCGAAGTTTTCAATTTCGTAAGTATAATTCCTACCATCAAGTTTAATTCATAAAATTAATGCGATGTAATGAAACATCATTGATTTATACGCAAATTATTTACACTGTGATTTATTGAAAATTAATAATATATTTATTTTCATGTATGCTTTTAGTATTATGGTACAGATATAAGATATAAATTACGAATACATATAAGGAAATAAATATAAACAGATAAATGGTTTAAAATATTTAAAAAGATTTAAAGAAAAAAGGTTATGTAAATCAAAGACAATACTATTTAAAAAGATACTTACATGGTTGATGGAAACCAGGGCTATCAGAAAACTCAATGACATAAAGGGGAACATTTCTAACAGATGGTTCGGTTAGTACATATACTCTTGTAATATTTGGGCACTTTTCGTGAATTTCTTCCAAAACTAAGGGTAACTCCTCATTATTGTGATGTTTCCACACGAATGTAGAAGAAACTACCCCAATGTAGGTAACTAATAATCCCAAAAAAACAATGTAAAAATACGCCATTTTATTTGAATTATTTAACTGGAGAATAATCAGATATTATGACCTTAAATCACATAATTTCAACCAATGCACGAACTATGTCACTATTGCTATTGCAGCACAAGAGCGAAACGCTCACGGCTCTCAACAAGTTAAAGTATCGATCGGTTTTCCCGCCGCGCCGCCCTGTTAATCATGGCTACCAACATAATGTCACAAATTACGTTGCGCAACGTTGGCGAAACTGAGAACGGTGTAGCTAGTTAAGAGTTCAGACTTTAGACAGATATTTTTATTTAAAAATTTAGATTGTTTCAATTACAACACTTACTCTATAAAAATATGTGTTAATAATAATGCTTACAACAAATTGAGACACAGATATTTA